CGGGGCCCCCCACCCTCAGAACTTCCGTCTTGTTCGGGTTCAGCCTCAGACCGTTCTCCTGCATCCATTCCAGTACAGTCCCCAGGCAGCGCTGAAGGGACAGGACGGCATCACCTGCGGTTGGAAAAAAGGAGATGTAGAGCTGAGTGTCATCAGCATACTGGTGACACATCGCTCCACACCCCCTGATGACCCCAGCTAGCGGGCGCATATAGATGTTAAACAGCATTGGGGAGATAATTGAACCCTGCGGGACCCCACAGTTGGAGCTCCACGGGGCCGAGACACTCTCCCCAAGCTGGACTCTCTGGGGACGATCCTCCAAGAAGGAGCGGAGCCAGGCTAATGCCAAGCCATCGATTCCCAGCTCGGAGAGCCTCCCCAGGAGGATACCGTGGTCGACGGTATCAAAGGCCGCCGAAATATCGAGGAGGACCAACAGAGACATTTTGCCCCTGTCAGCCTCCCTCAACAGGTCATCGTACAGGGCGACCAATGCCGTCTCTGTACCGTGACGCGGCCTGAAGCCCGACTGGAATGGATCCAGGGCATCTGTTTCATCCAGAAGTGCCTGAAGCTGATCTGCCACCACCCTCTCCACCACTTTGCTCATGAAAGAAACATTGGCGACGGGCCTATAATTGCCAATTTTGTCCGCCGCCAAATTAGGTTGCCTCAATAATAAATGAAAACTAAAAACCATGGACTGAATACCTTGGGCAGAATCCTGTAAAGCAAATATAGAACATAAGGTTCCACAGGCATAGCTCTTCATCATTTTCAAGTTACAGTTTTGCAAACCAGAAATCACCCCACAGAAATCAATAGGGCTTCTGCATGCACAAAGGAGAGGTGAATATTCCCTTGTGCAAATGACATGAAAGAACAATTGAATACACAATAGACCGTTGCATGTACAGTATAAACAAAGAGGATTCTGCCCAGCATCCCTGCCCACATGCACATACGCACTACCTATACATGTACCACCTCTGGTAGTGAGGAAGGGAAGATTCTGAATAATACCACTATGCCATCTCAATATTCAAGATTTAATACGAGATTTAAATGGCACATTCTGCAGTGCAGACATATTTTGTCTAAAGGTATTGCCTGATTTACAGGCTTTTTGCTGATATGGAGAGTACAAAAGGAAATTATAATTTATGGACTAGTCAACTTCCTGACAAAAAGTTTTGTTTTCCTGGCATTACTTGAGACTTCCAATCTTGCATAGACTGAAGAAGGACAACAACAATGGATTATTTTTCAATAGGCCTCCTTTAATCTCTTCTTGCATCTTGCTTAGTCAGGTATTTTATAATTCCTCTCAATCTCATTAAGGCTTTCACCACACAAAAGCTTGCAAACATATTCAAGAAGGCAGAATAATCAATTTTCAACATGGTTTTAGAGAGTTCTTAAAAGTTCTGAAAGAGCATAACAAAACTGTAACTGTAACAAAATAATAATATAATAGTTCAATATTTATTTATATAATGCTCTACACCAGAGTCCATTCCAATAAAATCAGTAATATACAAACATGCAACACAACATATCACAACAATTTTAATATTGTGTGTGTGTGTTTATCTGTATGTACATCAAGGTACTCTCCTCAGAATAAGCACTGATCGAGGAGAATTATCCAACTGCTAAAAAAAACAGCTAAAAAGTTCTAATAAATTACACTGGTTGCTGACCTCTCCCTACACCCAGCACATATGGCACCAAGTTGAACAGATAGGTTTTCAGACCTCATCTAAATTTGTCTAGCTCTGGTTCCATACAAAGGTGCTGGAGGAAGGAATACCACAGCTCTGGAGCCAAATGGGAAAATGCCCAAAGCCTGGAACAAAAGCCTATGTTTTATATATTCCATCCTAAGGACAGATCTGAGGAGACAAGACATAGACTCATAGAATAATGGAGTTGGAAGAAACACACCACAGCAAGCTACACCACAGTTCATGACAGTTCATTGTGTAAACCACCTGGAGTGGCCTGGATTGCCAGATGGGTGGTATAAAAATAAAATAAATAAAATAAATAAAAATAAATAAATAAATGACAGAAAATGACATCCTCTGTTGTAACCATTTTTGATTGTGAGCAATGAGTTGCATTACAAGTATCCATGTTACCCATTACTTTTTGGACTAATGAAAGGGCAATGATGTTACTTTTCTGAAGAAACACAACAACTGGCAATGTTGTTGTTCTTTCTTGTTAGTATGACAGGTACTGTTGTCACTTCTAAGACATTACTTTTGGAGGTTAGAGAGGAAAACCAAGGTTTTTATTTTTCAGGGTGTTTTTAAATTAAAGAAACTAATATATAAATTAAATTGCCTAGATTTTAGTGGGGGATAGAATTATAG